CAATAAATGATGATATGCGTATTAATGATTTTATACGTGGATAGGTAACTGTGACTACATCTCGTAGAGTTTATTTGAAACTGTTGATTTTCTGTTGTTGAGGATATACTGCATTATTTGATTGGTGATGACGTTCTAGCACTTGAACGTCTTGCATTAATATTGCACGTTTATTCAGCTATTTATTCATTCATATATTTGTAGTTCCTTCAATTTTGTAAAATAGTTTAGTTCTTTTTTTTTTGGAATTGTTGTAGTTTGTATTTTCATCCATTCGATCATTTCTGAGGAAGTTAAAAGATCTCAATAAGTGGTAAATGAATTGGAACTGTGAAAATTGTTTTTTAAAGATATGCATTCGTTGTTATTAATTAATGTAAGCACTCACTCAATAGTGCTTACATTAATTAGTAACAATGAGTGATCTCACAAAATTGGGATCAACTGTAGAATATTAGTGTTGATCTCAGCAGTTTTACATTCATTTTCTCGCTTTTGGTATGTTTTGTGATGTTACGATTACATATAACTCACTTATATTTTTCATGATGTTACTCATAATAAGTGGTATGCAAGTTTTGACTGATAGCGCCTCACTCATGCCAATATCTGTTATTGGTTATCACTGTTACTGTGGATGGTCTTTTCTGATTTGCTTTACAAGGTATTTCTATCTTGTTATTCTATGCTAACAGTAAGCGCTAAAGATGAGTATTTTCGAAGTGTTGCTACCCTGATGACAGCTGTGTCGATTAATGAATGGATGAGTTGCGTCTTCCGCGATCAAAGGACGCGGTGCTACAGGTTTTGTTGCTATGCATACGAAATGAAATTGCACTGTTTTGTGAATTTGCTTCACGGACAATTGGACGGTTGGTGTGTTTGTTGTAATTGTTTGCTTAAGCAGTGTTCTTCGGGTTGGGTTCTTGATGTGAGATGAATTAATTGAGATTTCTTCACTGTTTAATTGTCCTCGTGTCATTCCATCTAGAAGTTCATTAGAGATTGTGTGTTGAAAAAATTTTAAGAAGCGCTACTAAAGGGAAGCTAGGTAACTGCAGCATGAATCGACAATATCGAAGGTATTGGTTTGTTTTGTGTTGTGCAAATCTTTATGTATTGAAGTGTTTTCAGCTTTTTAGCGGGCAGTTAGGTAACTGCAGCTGATTAGGGTAGACTACTGCTATTGCTAAGTGTGAGATGTGGTAGTTACTTTGAGATGCTTTTAGGTGTTTGCTGTTACTGCTCTTTTCTTCTCGTTCAACTCAACTCTGTTCTGTTTTAATTCGTTTTCTTTACGATAAGAGGGCATCAGCCATCCAAATCGAAATCGCGGCGTTATGATGAAACATTTAATTTAACAAATGATTAATTCTAGCTGTTATCGTATAACTTACGACCAACTTGCTGCTGCTTTAGTTTAATGCTACTGCATTTCTCCTTCTCACTCTTGCCCTCTCTGTTTTCCCTCCCTGACCTGTCTACTGCTATCACTTTTATCTCATCAAAGAGCAGGTAGGCTCGCAAACAAGCAGTTTTCGTTCGTTTGTACTTGATCTCGAACTCTATCTGGAGCTTTATCTTTTCCATGTTGATTATAATCTTTACTTCCTACTACACCTCGTTCTTCTATTTCATTCACAAATGCTCAATAAGTGACTTCCTTCAGCATCACTTTATGAACCTCACGATACGAATAACCAATCAACCAACCGACCATCCCAGCCTATGTGGCTGACTTGTCGATGCAGATGTGATTGATGTATAATGTCGTGTCGTGTATCATCATCATTCTGAACCTAAGTTCCTTCCTTCCATCACCATTCTTTATTGGACCATTTCTCCGAACCTAGCCTAGCTGATGTAATTCAGTTGAATTCAGCGCAGCTCAGCTCACGTTAAGTCTCGCTTTATTTTAAACAAATTTATTGTTCGTCAACTAAAACTGATGTTTTCATGTATGCCGTTATTTGTGCTGTGTTGTGTTGACGATTAGGTAGACAAAGGGAACATTGTTACTCTGTTGATTCGACCGTGAATTTTAGAGGAATTTAATTTCTCCTTCTTCGCTCGTTTATTTCGACTCAGCTGATTGAAATTACCTGGATTACCCGGATTGGTCAGGCTATCAAACGTTTGTAACGTTGCTGGCCACAATGCTCGCGTTTCCGTGCATATTGTTCTAGCCTCAATTTACACCACCTCACTGGCTAGGCGAGCAGGCCAACCAAACACAACCGAGTAATTAACTAGTTGCCATGAATATTTTGCATAATTAATCATAGCCAAATATCAATCCAATAAATAATCAAAACTCTAGAAATATAAATATTCCGCCGATCGCTCACAGCGATTGACAAAACAACTACTCGTTGCCCAAGTAACAGTTAAAAAATATGTTGTGATTGAAAGTACCACTCATAATTGATCCGTTTATTTGAATAACTACCTTCACTTACAATTAGTATTACAGAATATTTTCAATTACTAGCATCACCTCTATGACTGTAAGTTGAATCTGCTTAATCATTTTCGTTATTCCTTCGTTTCTTCAGCATTACAGTTAATGCTTTCTCCGTTCATTTATTCATTATGTGATCGATGCGTTAGCGTTATTGTTGTTGTACTATCATGAGGGTTATATTGATACTATCTGTCTAATTGCTACCTATGAATGATACGTAATACTTTTCTTAACTATTTGTTATTTTGAATTTGTCATTGTCTATCTTGCTGTTCATCTGCATACCTAGAAGTATGCATTTGTGAGGTGCACATCTATTGTATTACAGCAATAAGAATATGCAAAAGAGTGGCTCTATCATTTGATAATACCAGTAATAATACCAGTAGTAATGTGATATCAATTAATCAGCAAGTACTACTATCATAGAGCAGCAGCAACAGTGTTACAGCGCGCGTGATAGTCAACTGTCACATGCAAATTCGCATGATTATGTTTGTTTGTGTATGCATTTAATTGTTGCTTTCGTTCTTGTTCATTTTGCATTATTATTTCTTGAGGATATATTTATTCATTGATCGATTGATTATTTCTCATTTGATGTGGTTTCAATGAATCCGTTTGTACTGATTCATCGTCGTACGACGACGAGAAGGAAGAAAATTCCATTTTATTCAATAGTTCGAATCGTTATTAGTGGTAATAGTTCTCAGAAACAGACTGAGTGATTAATTCATAAATATGCTTATCGCAGAAGATGGAAACGTTCACGGTTATGCTACTAAAGGTATTACTGAGGGTAATATTCACATCTGTTCGTTCTTGTACTTTATGTTCGTACTTCATTTGAACTTAACCTATCACTACTATTGAATATTACCCTGTACTATTGAATATTGTTATGATCAATTTTACTAGTATTATTTTATCATCATTTCGACCATTAAACATCAAGTGAGTGTCGATGTACGAGTATTATTATATGAAACGTCGAAGTTGGTTAATTCATTTGTCTTTGCAACGGTGACGCGATTAAGCATTTGAAATCCTTAGTATTGTCAAGGAAGATTTTAAGGTGTTCTTTTAAATAGCTGACGACACAACACCTCAGCGGCACAACGCAACATTCAGACGCACACATCACAATCTCGTCATGTTCTTCGCATTCATTTAAAAGAACGAACAGTAACGTTGGTTGACTGCTGCTGTCTGTGGTATTGAAAGCAATTAAAATTGGAATCATAGAATTAAATTAAGTAAAATCAATAATACCAACAGAAAAATACCCTCGAAAAGTGAGTATCATTGATAGTGATAGCAATATCAGTATTATTGCTTTCATATAATATTTTGTAACAGTAATCGTCGAACATTTCTTCACGAGTTTGCTCAATCAACAATTCGAATTTTCTTCAATTTCAACAGTCAACGAATACACCTCTTCATAATACAGCACTACGATTTATTGAAGTGCTTTCATTCATTGACACAGCTATAGTTATCCATCCATCTGTCTTAATAACGCGGTTAGTTATTTCCTTATCCCCTCCTCCACTTTTTAAGTTATCATCCCTTTATTATTTCTATATTACCACTGATTATCATTGTTGTTGTTACTACTGCTTTTAGCATTGCCGTTATGACTATTATTGTAGTTATTATTATTATTATCATTATTATTATTATTGCTGTTGTTGTTATTATTATCATTATTATCATTATTAAAGTTGAAAATTTTCAGGCACATGCGTCATATATTTGGTGTTATGCCCATACACACAATAATTACGATTTCAGCGAATGAATAAATTGGAGACTTCTTATTATAGTATAGTGAATTAAAGAAATTAAATTTGTTAGTTGATAATAATAAAAATAATAAAATACTGATAACAATTATTATTGCTGCCAGCCATTACTGTGATAATGGTCATCGTACACTGGGGTTATTCATATTATTCGATTTAATAATAATAATATCATTATTATTATTAGCGTTTCTAAAATTGCTGTTGTTATTGGAAATGACTTTCTTACTGTTATAATCTAACTTTATTATTCAGTTATTCGCCTGTCATCATTATTCCTAATAAGCGACATATTGTCATCGATCGGTCTGGAAAGAAAATTTATCATATATTGATTTTATGAGTTTCTTGTAACTGCATTGCACCGTCACTGAAATATTGGTGAAAAGCAATAGTAGAAGACGTTTTAAAAAAAGGAACTGGGAAAGATTTTTTCATTACGTTTATTCGTGGAATTAGGCAACTGTTGGTAAATTTCCATTATTTATTCTTTTCTATCATTCACTCATTCAATTACTGCAAAATCTTTATATTTTTTAAAGCGATCATTGGTACTACTGCTTTGTTGGCACTCGTGCATACTGTTACGTTAACAAGGAATATTTTAAAAAAAATACATATCATAAACATATTCATATATATTCATCATATATCACTACTGCAACTATATTATATATAAATTGAAATATATTCAACTTCAATGAGAATCTTTATGCAGCCGATAAGGCATGGTCGCACAGGATACCAAAGTTGAATCAGTTAGAAGGGCTAGCATGTTCAGCCAACCCCATCCAAACGTACGTTGTATTTTCTTTTTTTTAAACATATATCCGGTCTTGTCATTTAAGCATTATTGATTACTCTTATCATCTTATCGTAATGATAACTAATGTTGTTTCAAAGAGGTGATCAATATGCAATTGATGGAATGCAAGACGGTGAAGTAATAAATAATTAATTCAGTACGCATCATCTTCGTTGTGGCCTCCTGAAAATAGTTCACAGCTAGCTACGGCAACAGCATCAGCAATATCGTCATCGAGCAATTCTGCTCTTCCGTCTTATAATAATCATTCTGGTGTTAATTCATCGCATCTTCATTCTCATCATCATCATCATCATTTGACCAATTGTAATAATAATAATACTCAAAATAATATTAATAATAACAATACTAATCTTGATACGACAACAATTATCAACAATAATAACAACGCATCATCATCGTCATATAATCTAAATTTTATTCCTACTCAGTCATCAGTTAGTATTCATACGACTGCAGCAGCAATAGCCTCTGGAGCGTATTCACCTAATAATGCGAGTGCAGCAGATGCGACACTGTTTAGTAGCAAGTTTGTTATTGTTGTCTTAATCAACTAACGAATCTATTTGTCACTGTTACCATTATTATATCATAAATAAATGGTGTGCGACGCAGTTATAATGAATAGTTGCAATGTACTTCATTTCAGTGCTGTTGCTGGTACTTCTGCTTTAATTGGTGTTGCTGGTGCAACTTGTAGTGGTGGATCTGCTGGTGGTGCTGGCTTGGCAGATCAAGTCACGATTCAAGCTCATCCGCATTCATCTTATCCGAGCAGCCTGTCTACTGCTGTTACTGTTGCAGGCACGTCATCAAACGGCCCGTCAGCGTGCTGCTCCTCTTCGGTTTCTTCGGCCACAACAAGCACAGCAGCAGCAGGGCCGTCTCAAGTTCCCTCTATTATTTCTGTACCCCCTCCACTTTGTTGTGCACCTTCTGCTGCGAACACGAGCAGCAGTAATTCTAATTTCAGTAGCCATCATCTAAACTCGACGGATATCGTTCCCCTTTCACACCAACATCATTTACCGTCCACATCTACGGCTCCTTCAACAGCTATATCATCAACACCTTGTGCTGCTGCTTCTAATAATAATATTAGTGGTAGTAATACGTCAGCTACTAATAATATTATTAGTTTCAATAATAATCCAAATAGCAGTACTAATAACAGCAATATTATAAACTCTGATAATAGCGCTAATTCGGCTGCGACGAATAATACGGCAAGTGCTGTTACCAGTTCACTTATAAGTGCTGGCATCATTGTTAATAATAATAACAACGCGTCGAATAACATAGCGTCATCAAAGACATCAGCAATGAATAGTAATTTGTCGTCAAATCAGCAACAACAGGTTGGAGGACGTACTTATCGTGATCCAGCATATACGCCACTGAGGAAGTTGAGTGTGGATCTAATCAAAACATATAAGGGTATTAATGAGGTTAGTTGTTTGTTTGTTGATTGATTATTCATGTAGAAGATGATTGCTGTTTAAAGTTAATGATCGTAGCCATAAATAATTTCTCTCAGAGTTATTATGCACGAAAAGCAAAAAGGAGACATGACCATGGTCAATGCATACCATCTTCAACACAGCATCAGCAACAACAGCAACACACAATCAACCAAGAGCAACAACTCCATATGGCACCTCCGATCAAACAGGCTGCACCGTTGAGTCAACAGGTCGCCATACTTTTTTCTAGTTTTTTTTGATTTCTGCGCTGGAGATTTAAATATGTTCTGAAATTGAAACCTTAGATGGGAATGCATCAACATCAACCGTCGGTGACGAATACGTCATCGCAGCAACAACAAGTTACAGCACTTCGAAGTGCTGCTGCTGTACCCTTCTTACAGCAGCAACCCTCATCCCAGTCAACAATCGCGTCTATCACGGCCTCCTCACAACAACAAGTGGCCGCACCTCAGGTATCTGTTGCAGTTCCATCACATCATGGCCGGTTGGCTTCGATTAACTGCTAGTTAAGTATAACAAAAATAGCAGGCAGACAGCAGCGCTCTAATGCAGTGAATAATTCAGATGAATGAACGGGAAGTGGCAAATCCACGTATGGGCATACACAACAATGGGTACGATGATGAAAATCATGACTACATCCTTCAGTCGGGTGAAATTTTCAATAGCAGGTTTGTTCGGTTTTAGATTCTTCCATCTGACTGATGGTACACATGATGTGATAGTAGTACATTTTTGTGAATGAATGTCAACAAGCTTTGTTAGTGCTTTACTTTTGCCCTCATTAGTTTGCAGTGACCAGGTCATATCAGCTGTAAGGCAAGTAATCAAAACTTGACAAGAAGAGAAAATGTGAATTGAATTTGAGCTCGTTTCACAGGTATCATATCGAGTGCCATATTGGAAAGGGTTCATTTGGTCAAGTTGCGAAAGCTTATGATAATATCGAACAACAAGATGTGGCAATAAAGATAATCAAAAATAAAAAGCCATTCCATGACCAAGCACAGATCGAAATAAAACTGCTGGAAATGATGAACAAACATGATTCTGAATGCAAATATTACGTTGGTTAGTCATTTTTAAAAATGTCAACGCCGATTTGAAGTGCATTCATTACCTATTCGTAAATAGTCTTTCCATACCACCTCACTCCACTTTAACTTCTCTGGCAGTCCTCATTTGTTGGCGTGTGTGTTTGGTTTTGATTACGTATTTCTTTAATATCGTCGTCAATTTCACTACTTTATGTTCCCATGTATCTTCCTTAAAACGAAATTAATTTTGGCAATTCCTTTTCATAACACATACAATCATGTTTATCAAACAGTCCATGTATATCATTCATTTGATCAGTTGTTTTTCTTCAATTTCTTTGTTTGTTTCAGTTAAGCTCAAAACTCATTTTATGTGGCGTAATCACTTGTGTCTTGTTTTTGAATTGCTCTCCTACAATTTATATGATCTTCTGCGGAATACAAATTTTCGTGGTGTTTCGCTGAATCTTACGAGGAAATTCGGTCATCAAGTACGTTAACTATTTCAAATTTTTTTCTAAGCATGTGCGCATTCTTTCAAATTTACAAACGAAATTCTTGTTGTTCATTTTTAATACACAAAAACCGTCTTTAAGTTGTGTGCTATTTGATTCTGTTTTATTTCATTTCATTTGATTTGAAATTTTAAATTTCAGTTAGCCACAACGCTAATGTTTTTGTCATCGCCTGAATTGAATATAATTCATTGTGATTTAAAACCTGAGAACGTGTTGTTGTGTAATCCGAAACGGAGCGCAATAAAAATTATTGACTTCGGTTCGTCGTGTCAAATTGGTCATCGCATCTATCAATATATTCAGTCAAGGTTTTATCGATCACCAGAAATTCTTCTCGGGATCGCATACGATACCGCGATTGATATGTGGTCATTAGGTAAGTGTGTATAGCTGTGTTCGAATGAATAAATAATTATTAAATGGAAAAAAAAACAAGATGGCACTAAATTTCTTTCCCTGGTGTCAGCAGCAAGGTGTAGCTCAAAAAGATTATTATAATAGTGACATTTATTTCAAAATGTAAGAAATTTTAGGATGTATATTGGTGGAGATGCATACAGGTGAGGCACTATTCGCGGGTACGTGTGAGCATGATCAAATGATGCGAATTGTCGAGGTGTTGGGCATGCCACCGAAACAAATGCTTGATACTGCGCCGAAAACGAAGAAATTCTTCGATAAAACTGAAGGTGACTATTGAATGTTGCTTTGTTGGATTGTTGATTCTCGAATTGCTTGTTGCTTATTATTGAAGAACATTCATTCATTGCTTCAGATGGTAATTATGTTTGTCGTCGTTCACGTGACGGTAAACATTATCGCGCACCAGCGCAGCGACGTCTAGCCGATATAATTGGTGTGAATACAGGTGGACCAGGGGGTCGGCGATTAGGTGAAAATGGTCATACACCTGAAGAATATAATAAATTCAAGGTACGTTCTGGTAACTGTTAGCAACAATAGTTTTTTTTTGTTTTGAAACAGCTAAACAATTCCTTTTCTCTTTCATCGCGGTTTGAAACTGATTTTTGATCGCTTTTTTTTGTAAATTATTAAAGGTTATGTCACAGGTGTAATTCTTTTTTTTCTTGTTATTTTGGAAAAATCAGACAATTGATTTGTTTCGGTAATGCAATAATCTATGTGATGAAACAGGATCTAATCGAAAAGATGCTGACTTATGATCCTCGCGAACGCATAAGCCCGTTTTACGCGGTACGACATCCATTTTTCAAACGGCCCGACGATAGCTCGACTGGTGGCGGAGCAGGAGGAGCCTCGAGCAGTGGTGCAGGAGCTGGAGGTGGCATCGGGTCATCATCTAGTACAGTTTTACATCATCAACGAACAGCAGCAGTAGCACCATTACAAAGTATATCATTAAGTGCACATCAACAACCACCACTTCTACTACAGCCTGCAAGTTTATCCCAACAACAGCAACTTCCACATTCATCAAGTCAACAAACTTTGGTTTGTGCACTCTTTGTTGAATCTGATGAAACAAGTTTGGGTTGGCAATTTGTCACATTGAAATTATTGTTTGAAGGTGGCGACCGCATCAGCACCGTATCATGCAACACAGATGATGCAGGCTGGAGGAGGAGCACCGCAACACCATCAGCCTCATGCTCAACAACAACCATACATGGAAGATGCAACAACAAGCTTAACAAATCAAATGGACTGTTCCGATTCAACCGCATTACTCATGCAACAACCGAATCACTGTGCGATCATACCGCCCTCTCAGGTCAGTTAAGCCGTATCATAATCATGTTTCAATTGGAATTGAATAAAGTAAAACTTGATAAGAATGCATTTAATCAAAGTGAATCAAGATGCTGATAATAAAACGCTGGAAGACCACATGTTGATAACTGTTTTAAAAATGTTTGTAATGGGTGCTTCTTTGGGGGTATCTTCGGATAGAATGTAGGCCTTATTTTGGTCTAACTCGAGCTTAATTACAATCTCTCACGTTTATTTTTCAAATTGATATAACCACCTAATGGTTATTCTTATGCCTCCTGTACATGTTCTGTCACCCTACAAAATCTCACTATCCTCCGAGCGCGGAGATAAGCTGAAGAAGAACCATTGCAAATTTGCATTGTTCTAGTCCAGCATTACGAATATTCGAAAGCGCATTCTTGTTGCAGTCTTCTTGGCTGAAGGTTATGATTCCCACAAAGTTGGGAAAATTTGTGATTTTTTGAATAATAAAATACCATAACCTTGCCTCCATTGCCTAGATCTATTTTATTTTGGATTCATTGGAATTATTGTTGCTCGGTCTTCATCCCAATACTCAAAATGGAAATATCGACACAGTTTGAAGTTTTTCATTTGGGGATGTTTTGGTGCTGGTCCCTGCAATTTGTGGCCTCATTTGAAACATTTTTAGGTCAATGTAGCTCCTCCTACTGTTTCGAATAACTTCCATCATCAACAAATGATGCATTGTACTGCTGCCGGTCCTACTCAGCATAATCCCTACTCGTGAGTTTTTCATTTTCTTTAATATTACGTTCTTATTTCATGCAGAGATAATCTTTTGTTATGTATAAAATTACGTTATATTATATGTGCATTATGATTTGCCCGTTTAAATTTTGTCTTCATCTTTCAAGGCAAAAGACTTTTGTCTGTTATTTTTACGCTGCATGTTCCGTGATTTGTAGCAATAGCAGCCAACCTTTATACTGACTCATTTTTTCGGTACGGCGGGCTTGGGACCGATCGGCCGGTACTAAAGGCTTCTTTTGGAGGACTGGCTTGTAACTACCAACTACCACCACCACAGAACAGCAGTAGCAGTATTCATCACGGCTGTTGATTTGACTACTTTTCGATTTGGTTCGGTTCGAAGAGGTGTGTGCTGTTGCATGTAACGAGTGTGTGCCATCGTTGTTCGTTGGTCCGGTTTAATCGCGGGTTGTTGTTGTTGCTGAATTTGTGAATAATTCCGACAACAACAACGTTTCATCCAGTAGCAAGCAGCAACAGTAGTAGTACTGTGCCTTCATCTGCGTCTTCAGTAGCAGCTCGACCACCATTCCGACAATAACCACAACGATCAATATACTCAGAGCGCAACTAGCTGAGCAGCACGATTTCTTAACGCAAGCAATAGCCAACAGCGTTTCATCATCGAAGCATTTCTAATCAACATTGTAATTTATTACTTACTATCCATTAGTTGTTTCATCGCTTTCGTAATATCCTTGAAAATGTTGGTGACAATAATGTCTTATTTCGTTTTTCAGATTCCTCCCCGCAGTCAACTATTGATTTATTATTAACCTCAAAAAATCGTTGTTATTGTTGTTGTGCTGCTGGCGCAGCTTCACTTCGTCACTATCTGCGCTCAGCTGTGAATTTACAACATACTCATAAGGTATTTGTTAAGCTGTTTGCTTGTTTGTATTTGTTTTAGTTGATGATAATGGTGAAAGGACATGTGGTTAAGCAGTAAATTTGTGACTGTCTTAGATTGAAAGGTGATGATGAGCATGTGATTTTCAATTACATTCATTCAGTAATTGATTGGTGGTAATAATAAAGTTGATTGTTGTTGCATTGTAGAGTAGTACTAATGCGGCCACATTGTTGCCACAAAGGAAATCTCAGCTTGCATAGTGCAATAGTTATTGCTGCTGCTGTTGCTGCTAGTGGTGGAGGTGTAAATGTGGCTGCAACTACGATATCTTCAAATCCATCGTTTTTTCTGTTTCAAACTCAAAATTTTATTCCCGTCGAATCGTCATCTTCGCAGCGAATTCGTATTCTGTTCGTCTTCATTCTGCACTCATCACCACTCTATCGTAGTAGTAACAATGTCAACAGCAACATGAACACTAACAATGATAATAACAATAATAATGACAGCTCATGTTCCTCATCATGTGCAAATGCGGTGATCTCTCGCCCCTAAAATATTACTGTTTCATCCTCTTAAAGTTCATCATCTTTATCTTTGTTATCGTATTTGTCAGCAAATGCTGCTGGAGCAACAGCGTTAACTTCAAGTTCCCGAATGGTTTCATAATCCACCAACAACAACGGCCACTACAGCCAGTTTCGATTAGACTCGTTATCAAATTTATATTGTTACTGCCTTCCTATTATTATAATCTCTGTGCATTCAATTCATCCACTATTCGTTTGCATTTTCCGTAGTTATCGTTCATAATAAAGTTATTATATCATGAAGAGTCAAGAATATGCTTAAGTCGTTAATCCATCCATCTATGCACATCATTCATTCACGGAGGAGTGAGTTGTTAATTGTTCATTTCTCATTATTTATCTGTTCATTCGTATGGAAATAGCTCCACGCCCAATTTCATCGGAACCCCGAAAACCGAGTCAGTCAGTCAGTAATTGCCAGTTACATGTTACATGTGCGCCTTACATATAATGATGGTACTGTTCAATTTGTGTGTCTTATATGAATAAATTCATCTTTTATTTACTTGAATTATTTATTTACAAAACTTTCAGTCTTCACTAAAATTTCTCGTTTTTGTCATTTCCATTTATATGTGTAGTTCCTTTGTGTTCATGTTAGTTATCTGTCTGTCTCATCTGTTTACTATCAGCAACGGAAAGCCAGTCCAAGTTTCACTTTTGTGAAACGTCAGCTTCGCGCCGTGCAGAACTGTCGGTCACATTGTCGTTCTATCATCTGCTTCATCCGCCGCATCTGAAATTGTCTTGATTGTCGCTGTTTTTCCTGTACGGAATTCCTCTTTTTGATTTCATGGGATTGTTTTCGCTACACTTTGTGCAACGCGATGTTCGCTGCAGACAATTATTCGTGCAAAGTAATCATTTGTTCGTTTTGAATTTGATCAATTTTTACAGTTTTCCAGTGGACATTAGATGTCATATTACTATTGCTGTATAATCATCATCATCCCCGTTATTGCTGTTATAATTATTGTTTCTTTCCTTAATGCTATCGAATTCGTTGTTTGCGAGATAATGTTCCGAACATGTTGCATTTTTTGGTTATTGTTCGTAAACTGCTGTATCATCATTATCATCGTCATCATTATAAAAATTCTTTCATGTTCTCAGAATTTCCTCTGTTTACGCTTGTTCACTCTTGAATATATTTCATTTATATTCATAGTGAATTTGGAGTTCTTTTGATATTATCTCATCAATGTCTATTGATGTCCTTCTTTAGTGATATTTAAAAATTTTTGCTGAAAGCGCATGACTATGCAGAATAGAAAAAAGCAAGACATATGTTTCACCACCAAAAGTTTTCATTTATTTATTTATTCATTAGTTAATGATCGGTGCATATGAATAATCTTTTATGCTGATGATGTACAGAGTTTTATTGATTCGCTAGATGTATCTTTTATTGAGTATTTTTTCTACTTTTTAATATTTCTCTCGCTTTCAACAGATCGGTTGTTTGTGATCTATACATATATATACATATGTTAAACTTTCATAGTGACGGTTCTTTTAATCATTGTTATTTTTGTGGATAAGTATTATTGTAATTGTTATCATGGAAGTCATCTTTATCGAATTAAAAAATATCAGTCATCGTCATCGTTATCATCATCACCATTGTTATTATCAAGTGTATTTTTTTGCATTCATTCATTAGTTCCTTCTATTATATAATGAACAATTAAAGAATTGATAACACACGCAATTTCAAAGTGTTCTTGGACTGCTTCTTAGGATTTCACCATTTGGTTGATTGGTTCGGAATTTTTATGGATCATGAAAAGGTAACAGTTTCGGATTCTAGGTAACGAGTGCTTCTTCGAGTTCCGTCATCTGTCTGTATCTTTCGAATTTTGAAGAACACCATTTTTATGTTCTTAAGCTTTATTACTACTGCTCTTCCATACATAAGCTGTACTTATCTATTCACTTGTTGCTCTCTGCTCAGGCAACAACATGAAATGGATGGATAGTTATTCATCTATCTTTGATGAGAGGAGCTTAATTTACTGAATTAATTCTGTTTTTTGTTGTATATTTTGATTATGATATTGAGATATTATGTTAATGTGCTGTTTTTATTGAGAGTTAACGTTTAATAATCATTATTGTCGTTAATTTTTTAACGAAAAGTTAATGCCGTTGTTTGGTGTAGAAATGACTGAATTTTTTATTAGCACTTGTTCATGAAGTTATCTACTGCATAGACATTATTGTAATTGTTAGACATTTTATTATCACTATTGTTGTTGATGTCGTTGTTATTGTTGTTATTTTTAGCATCCTCGTTATCATTATATTCGTCTTCATTTTTCAGATGAGATAAAAGGGGTCGTTCTTATTATGAATATTGCTACAGGCATAAATAATGAGCTTATCAGGTTATTGTATGTTCCTCTTTGCAGTTCCTTGAAGATCCTACGAACCAATTAATGCTGAGCAATACCTCGTTGCTCCGGGGTGAATGATCCTCGAATGTTACGTTTGAAATTGTGTGAGTGATTGAACATTCGCACGTATTTGTATGTAGTGTGCATTGTGTTTCATTTCTTCTTTATGCTCATTGAAAATTGTTCAGCTCATTTTTTGTTGGTTTGCTCTATGTACTCAGAGTTTTGATTAATTTAATTTGATTCGTTCATCCATTTTTGAGTTATTTTCTTGAAATTGAATTTGTTTTCATTTCAGTCGACGTGATGATAACGATGATGATAAAATTATTATTATTATCCCTATTACCATTTATTAAGTTTTGTGTTTTATAATACCAACATCACATCACCTTAACCTGATCAAGTGCCTAAATTTAGCACAAAGAACAGGAGATGCGAACAATTCAGTACAGAGTCCTGGATCTTGAAAGGAGGACCCACGTTAGGTTCACTGTTTCTTTTATATGCATACGATTTTGAAAAATAATATAAATGGTTCATTTGATTTATGTTTACGTATAAGGTTGGAATGAACAGTAAAATCGTAATAGCTGATAATAATCAGAATAAGAATGTAACTGAATAACAATTATTCATTCATGTATAAGAATCCATCCCCATAAATTCATTCAATATTCTCGTAATTCTCATAGGTTATGAGAAGGATTACGAGAATATCGAATGGAACCGAGTGTGATCAATCGCAGTTTAGTATTATATGAGTATAACAGTTGCGAGGAACGAACAAAAAGACCGTGCAGCTAGAGTTTGCAAACTCCCCCGCCTTCCTCAGCTCAAGGCGGGGATTTAATCCCGAGACCGTTTCTCAATCCCGTGGCTGTCCGGAGATTGGGAATCAACTTTTGGAATACAGAAGTATGATACGTTTAACAAGTTGTTTTTGAAAAAAAATGGCTGCTTAGATATAAGCAAAAATATTTTCGAAAGTTTTTCATAATGTTTAAAATTTCAAAACCTTATAACTTGGCCTAGGCTAGATATCGAGAAGTGTCCTTTTAAATGCTTATATACTAGATCCTCCCTTAAATTCTAGCAGCTAAAAACATGGGATCAGGTTCGAAGCTGATTCCGAAAA